AGGAAATGCGAAATTGACCACTCTACAGTGAGCAATCAGTTTCTTCGCGACTGTATACCTTTATTTGTTTATCATTTGAAATAACAATTATCAATTGTTACAATTATTCCCTCTTTGAATCACTGAATCATCAGCCATCACTATCACATCGAGACTGTACCCAATCTCCTTCATTTCCATCGAAGACGGACTCATGTACTGACCATACAAAAACAATAGGTCATTCAATTTGATAATCCTCCTCATCATACGAGGTAATATTTCATCATTTTGACGATCTGAGACAACAGTCATGGTTTGGTAGACTTACATTGATACCGGGGAATGATTGATGGTGAAGTGGAAATTTGGGCCGAGGCAGGATTCGAACTAGCAACCTACAGGGTACCTGCCTGCTACTCTGTCAACTCAGCCGGCAACCTGGTTGTCGATGATTCGAATCTTGCCATGGTTCAGAATTTCATTTCACCTTCAATCACCACCCAGTACCAATATAAGTCATTACTTACTGAATGAAGGACCTGAAGTGACGTTAAAATCCTTGTGTTTACGTAGCAGCCAGAGGAGTTTATCAGAAAATCCGAAACAAAAACGCGTTCACATGCCGGGGATTACAAACAACAATCGAATTTTAGGGTTCTCAATTCACTCGCAAGTACTCATCACTGAATACAATGTAAAGTGCGAGTGTAGTAAGAATACAGCCATGTTACAAACTAGTGCGCTCAAAACAAATGATGACTCAGACAATTTTTGGGCAAAGCTTCTCTGCATTCATTACTTATTAAAAATAGTTTGGTTAGAATTGACATACAAGACAGATGAGTCATTAAACAGGTGGGTGAGTTCACGACGAAACAGCAAATCCCATTCACTCACATAACTTTACACCAGCATTTCTCGCAAGACAAACACCCACTTCAGATTAAATTAAGATGGCTAACAACAAATAGGTAAAAAGGAGTTTCCTTTTAACTACGGATGCAGCAAGATCTCAATTCTTCCTTCATAATTCAGGCTGCTGAAAAACAAATAACCTCATGTTTGAGGTTGAAGACTTACTCATATAATCCTGAATGGCATAAAGTACACTTTGTATTAATGATGGTTAGTGGGTTAGCAGTGGAATCCAGGATGTTGATTTCGTGCTATTTGGGACTAGTCAGTTGGATGTGTCTACCTCTCAGTGAGTGGTGTTGTCCCCATCGGCTCGGTGGTCTAGTGGATAACGCTCTGAGGTTTGAATTGATTGGTCGCGTGTTGGAGTCCCAGTGGGAACAACATCAGTCACTGGGGTGCAGGTGCATACAGCTGATGAGTCACAAATGGGACGAAATGTGCATGCTGAATTCCACTGCTAGCCACTATCTATCATTACTATAATTAAAACATAGGTCATTTCGAGGCATCCGTACAGGAACCCTTATGCCAATGGGAGTGATCAATTCGGTGCAATCAACGACGGTATAATAAAAGCAATTATACTTTGGTTTGTATTGCCTGTTAGCCAACACAGATGACTATCATGATAGTGATGTGGTGATGAGAAATGTGACACGGTGTCTCAGTTCAGTTGAATTGACGATCTAGATGATCTCGAGGTGATTGTAGCCGACTGATGATTGGTGAGTAATTTGATTATGGATGGAGTAGATAGATGTTGGGATAACCATGTTGTTTTTATATAAATGAGAGGGGAAGGAAATGAGTTACTGAATTGGGAGGAGTGAATGAAAGTGAACTTGTTGAGAACTGTCACACTTGGATAATTGAGAGGAAGTTGGAATTTGTCGATTTGTGAATATGGAATTCTGAGGAGTATGAAACTAGTGGAATACATGTGTTGTTGTTTATTTAGTAGGGGATATCGATTGGTATGCGATGGTGAAAGTCAGTTGGTTTGGAGTCGTTGTTGACTTCAGTTTTGTGATTGATGGGACTCGTGAATATGTGATATATGCAACTCTTGAGGGAGTCATGTTTCCTCAGTGATTGAAACCTGTGTCACTCAGTGTCGATGTGCACCACACTATCACATTATTTGACTTAGTGGCCACATTGTACACCTCGATTGATGGATTCCGATGAATCTTAAGTAGTAAGGATTGACAGGTACATAGGTTATCTTATCTACATACAATCTAGTTAACAATTTGTGTACAGTGTATCACTTACTTACCTACTGTCATATTGAGAAATAAAGTTTTGACTTTTCAAATGATGCGTGTTGAATTGAAGATGATTTTGATGAGAGAGTGAGATGAATGAGGGAAGAAGGTGAAGTGAGACAGCACACCATATTCGTTTCGTCCGAGTATGAGAGTCGTTAACACTGCACACACACACACACACACACACACACACACACACACACACACACACACATGATGCAACGTAAGAATGTGGTCGCAAGTTTTGTGGGGAGTTGGTTGTTCACTGTTGAAATACTGAATTGAATGTGTTTCTAGAAGTGATAATCTGTTAAATTGACTGTTATATATTGAGCGAGAAATGGAAACTGTGTCTCACTCAGATAAGTAATATTATTAGTCGTATTATTTAACGTATTTTGAAGGTGATTCTAGTTCTAGTTATGACTTATTTGGCGACATGATTGTATATGTGTGTGTTGAAGAAGAGCTGTCTGATGAAGACTGTTCATCCATTTATGTATGATTTGTGGGGTTGAGTGAACTCGATTATTGTGTATTATTTCATTTCTTGAGTTTGAGATTGGCTGTTCCATTCTCCTGAGTTGTGATGGATTGTGGTCAGATAATTAATTTGGTTAGTTGTATGAAAGTGTGAGTGATTGTTTTCGGAAGGTGACTTCCAGCCGATGTGTTAGGGATTCAAATTCCTTTCCACCTACCACTGTTTAGGCAGTCATGTGGTATTGTTGGTGGTGACATAATGGGTGTGACTAATTGCCTTGTACACGAGTGTGTACATGGTTGTTGAGTGTGTTTCGATTCGGTTGGAATTTCGTTGTTATATAAGTGGAGAATATGTGGTGTTGTGGGGTTGAATGGGGTAGCTCATTGTGTGGATGAATTGAGTGAATGAGACGTGATCAGTGTATGTGAGGTTAATCACATGTCAGAGGGAGTCACTGAGAGGGATAGTCATGCCACTATTGATGAGGTTGTTAGTGTAGATGAATTCTGATCGATGATATTGACTGATGATCATGCTATACAAGAAAATGAAGGTGGTTGAGAATGTGAAGCATGGAATTGAAATCCATTGAGTGATGTGTGCCAGGACTTCTACGAGGCCTTATGATGCTGCATCTGGTCTCATGTTGGGTGATGATTTCTTGGCGTCTAATGTTTGACTGGGAGGAAATAGCAACACACAACTGCGAGATGCATCTGAAGGAGATAAAATCGTCACACTTTTGTATCGAAAATTGACTGGTGGAGGACGGCACCCCATTTATCGATTTGCGTATTCTAAATTGATCAGTGTTCAAGCTGGTTGAGACAGTTCAATTTGGATAAGTTTACGTGTCTTGCTGCCTGGATCTGTTTCAAGGATTTTTCATGTGTATATCGCAGCAGATAAACTATAGGAAGGGGGAGGATTCTTGTTGTTCGCATTTCTGAATACGTCCCGAATAATTTCAGTCGGAGATGTCATTAGGACTTGAATGGCGTAATTGGTGGGCACTTACATGATAGTGTACATAATTTCCACATATCAAAATTGTTTTAAGTGATCAAGAATCAGTCGAAACCCACTTTTTTGGCTGTCCACTGAGGTACTTGTGGTTGAGACACTCAATTCTGTTTTCAGTCTTGGTTTGACGTGATATTTTTATCTCCTATCACGGTTCAAACGCAGGACTACTAGATTCCGACTTATTTGTCATCACAAGACCGAAATATTCTGAGTTCGTGAGGGGTGTGGGCTTACTCTGTCCATGGGTCCGATGCTGGGGGAGGCAGTTTACCAGTGCTTTAAGGTTTACAATAGTTATCTGACTAATGTCACTCTGTGGTGAATACCACCTTGAAGTCAATGAACGATTTTATCCCTAAAAACCTCTAAACTCAATTTTTTGGCGATACCGATCGAAGTTTGTGAAGCGATCAACAAAAAGAAGCTGAATGATCGGATAAGTAGACATCACTATTTTAAGACTCTTTGTTTGAATAAAGGTAACAGAAGTTCTAAAAGTAAGTAGAAGACAGTGAAGTCAACACTTTTGAAATGATAGAATAGATTTCCTGCTCATGATAAAGATGATGGTAGCATGGTGTTCTATCCGAGCTTTGATATTTCGTCGTGTTGACGTTTCACTTGACCAGGCTTCTTAACATTCCTGAGCAGCACTAAACTTCATATACTTCATTTCTTGAGTAATAGTAACTTGTTTACCCCTTGATTTCTCACTCCATTTTTCAATCTATTTGAAACCTACTCTCACTTTCTGAGTTGCATTCATCTTCATTCTCAATATAATGGAAATCTATTAACGGTTTATTACGCTTACTTAATCATTATATCATTTAAAATCATTCTAGAATTACACTGAGCCAAATCTTCTTGTATGCTTTTACTGTTTTCTCTAATGTCCATTCTGTCAATGGATAAACCATTAACTTTCGCATAATCTTAACATCAACAATTTGGGTGAACCTTATTCTTTGTTGCCTTCCATCTCAATAGAAACATTCTTTTAGATTTATCTAACTACGTTATATTACACAGTTTTTATCATTAACATTATATTCTGTGGATTGTGAAGCAGCTGAGGGGGAATCCACACAGTACATGCCTCCTTATTCTGCTACTATTTTTCTTCTTGCTTTATTCAAGTATCTAAAAGATAATAATTGCATGATTTGAGATTAAGTCTGGAAACTTTGATCAGAAGCCACAACGTCCTTCTTCAAGAGGATTAACTAAACTCATAACATATAAGATTTGATTAGTAGGATTTTAGCAACATGTAATTGTCGTATAGGATTTCTTCCTTTCATTACTATGAATTT